AGGCTATTGATGAGATAATTGTAAGCTAATTTTTTTCCGTGCAGAATAACATTTTTTAATTCTTCTTTAATTATTTTACACATTTTGATCCTTTATGCTGAGAAGAGTCTAAAGGAATAAGGATCAAATAAACGTTCAAATAATTAGAAAAAAATTTTTAAACAATTTTCTTGCGCTTAATGCATCCTTTATGCATCTTTTTACACCTGATTTTCTATAGGTAATTTGCATGTATTGAAAAAATACAGATATTTTCATACGAGTCTCTTAAATTATTGTATAAATTCCAAGTTTCCTCCGTGAAAAGATATTTTAGTTCGAAACATTAAAATTCTAGCCATGTATAGGTACAATTTTGAAGAACTAATTCCAGACATTGTATATTAAAGAATCCACATAAAAAAAGATAGAGCCGTGAAAAAAGCCTTTCTTATGTAAATTTCCGACTTTAGAAAATCCGAATTCGGGACGAAGCCAAGATACACTGTAAAAAATATGTAATATATTACACAAAAATATGTAAAATTGCATAAATAATAAGTGTAAAATTACACGATAAATAACAGAAATGATTACCTTTTCATTATTTATCATGTAATTTTACATTTATTAATGTAATTTTACATATTTTTTGACAGTGCATATTCATCGACTGTCGAAAGGACGCGATATATCTCGATCTCATTCATACATAATAAAATATGTAATATATTACACAAAAATCTGTAAAATTACATAAATAATAAGTGTAAAATTACACGATAAATGACAGAAATGTTTCATTATGTAATTTTACATTTATTAATGTAATTTTACATATTTTTTGACAGTGCATATTCATCGACTGTCGAAAGGACGCGATATATCTCGATCTCGTTCATACATAATAAAATATGTAATATATTACACAAAAATCTGTAAAATTACATAAATAATAAGTGTAAAATTACACGATAAATGACAGAAATGTTTCATTATGTAATTTTACATTTATTAATGTAATTTTACATATTTTTTGACAGTGCATATTCATCGACTGTCGAAAGGACGCGATATATCTCGATCTCGTTCATACATAATAAAATATGTAATATATTACACAAAAATATGTAAAATTACATAAATAATAAGTGTAAAATTACACGATAAATGACAGAAATGTTTCATTATGTAATTTTACATTTATTAATGCAATTTTACATATTTTTTGACAGTGCATATTCATCGACTGTCGAAAGGACGCGGTATATCGATCTCGTTCATACAGTATCGATGTATTATCGTGAGCATCCCTAGACGCGCCGCGACGCGGAGCCTCGAGTTGAGCGCAAGAGGTCGACGTCCGGGCGCGCAACAAGTGCCGCACTACGTACACACAAACACATACACACACATTACTCCCTCTTTCTCTACACACACACACACACACACACACAACCCGCTTTCATCTCGCTCTCTCGCACAATTACATGACCACCGCGGTCTCTCCCTTCGAGGGAAGGCATCCCTCTCTCTTTCTCTCTGTCACTCGCTTCCTTTGCTTCTCTTTGCGCGACCGAGAGGAGGAGGAAAACGAGAAGAGAAGAGGCGCACGATTCAAACAGAGGTGCGGAATAATAAAAGAGAGACGAGGAGGGAGAATCGGTAAATATAAAACTGCACTGGGTCAGGGATCCGTGATTTATCGGCTGCCTCGTGTAATTGGCCGCCGGCCAATAGATATATACTTCCCTCCTGGGTGTGTGCGTTTGCGAGGAGGTCCAGAGCGCGAGAAGACGCTGCGTGCTTGTGCGCCCAGCATCTAGTCCTTCTCATTTCCGTGCAATCATCTCGAGCATCGATTACGCACAGTGAACAAAAATTATTGTATTAATCAATATTTATTTCACACAGTTGAAGAAACATTTCTGTCAAATTTCACAAACGGTCCACAGAAATTTTTCTGTTAATTTTACATAATATGGATACGATAAATGTAGACACAAATATTGGATTAATATTTGAACACAAAATAAAAATGCAAAACTTCAAATAATTTGAAATAAATTTGGTGTAAAATCTCTATTATATTATAAAATAGAAAGTCAACATTTTTTCCTGTAGATTTTAACAGAAAAATCTTGTCACTAATAAAGCAGAACATATTTATTGTGTAAAATTAAAAATAGATGCACATTGTTATTTTTACATTTTTTTCAGTTCTTTTAATAATTTAACATTTAAGTTCAATTAACAGAACAGTAATAATTAACACATGAATGTGTTAAATATTTAACACAAAAATTTTAACGGGGACCATTTTTAATAAGAAAACACAAATTTTTCTACTGTGCAATACTGCCTAATAAATCATATTTCGCATCTGTTTTGAAAAGGATTTTTCTATAAATAAATATTTTTCACATCAAATCGATATTATTCGTTTCAATAAAATTATTCGTTTTTTGGCAGTATTTGAAATAAATATGTATTCAATTTTTTTCAATGCACCTTCGTTTCTGACATACTCTATTAAGGACGAAGGAAGCGTTCTTTTTTTATTCCGCGAGATTGCATGATTGCGTTGGTATGGAATATCAATCGTGCGGATCGACTATAATTATGATGAGTCAGGCTTCTCAGGAGATGGAACTTTTCGATTGTTAGAGGAGTAATTATCACGTTGGTTTCTTTCTGCAGCTTCGAGGTGCGAAGAAGTGAATCTCAAAAATGTAGCTTGCGCGTACGCTTAAGAATAATAATTATAAGCGAGACGATTTTAATTTTTTTTTTAATTATTTGACGCACGAGAAAAAATTATTACAGATGTATAATATAAAAATTTTATTATTTTCCTAAATAATTTTTTATTCATTTAACGAGGGTACAGAGAAAGAATATAGACGCGTTTTACATTTTATGGGCTTTTACAAGTGAGAACATTATTTCGAATTCTCTTTACGATGTTATTGACCCGGATACACATAAAGAGACTTCAAGGAAAGAACGATCACTTAGAAGGAAAAATAAACTTGCTCATATACCTATGGCACTTACATAATAGCCTTTTTATAAGAGACAAGTTCATAGGTGAATGAATAATAAATATATTGCTTTTTCCTCTTTCTTTTTCTTCACTCGCATTTTCTAAATGCGATCGAATTTTTCTGGCTGCGCACAGTTGATTCTTTTTCCATTAAAATATCTATAGTAAAACTTTCTATTTTCTCGCATGCATCGAATATCAGAAATAGTAATTTTAATCGCTCGAAATGTTAATGAACTTCGGATCAGGTTCTAGGTTTCTCAAATCTCGTAAAAAAAATGTTTGCCTATAAAAAATAAAATAAAATAAAAAAATAAAATAAATGGTGCTTAAAATTCGTAAGGTCGCGAGAAGGTTTCGGAAAATCCGCGCAATATTAACCTTCCCTCTTTCCGTCTTCTTTTCCCAGCGAGAAAGAGGAACTCGCGCGACATTGCGGATATCAACGTACATATACGCGTAATATAAGAAAAGATAGCCGTGGAAGAGCGGAAAACAATGGGAAGCCTCTGTACGCGACGACGACGGTCTCGGTCTCTCGCAGCGCGAGAAAACGGTTGACGCACACTTTCGCGGAGGTCAAATTCCACGCGCGACTAATGCAGACGCGCTGCTTGCAGCCGCCGACGTTGCGGCGACCTTCGTGGTATTTGTTAGGCCGTAAATATAAAGTGTGTATACGCCGGTATCTGGAATATATGTAGGATGATGTATGCACGATAGGGAGTCATCGGAAGGCGCGAAAACGATGGATCTTCCGTTTTCGATTCGAGATGGATTGACATCTCGAGGTCGCACGAGGTCTCCCCGATCGAGGGGCTTTTACGATTGTATATTCGATTTTTTTATGATAGTTTTTATCAGGGTTGGGTAATTAGTTAATTAGTTTAAAAAAAGTTAAAAAGTTGATAACTTTTAATTTAGCTTAGTTAATTTAAAATGTGCACTGAAAATAAATTCAGGTTATTCTTACAAGTATTTATTTCAATACTGTCAAATAAATTATTTATTTGAAACTAATAATATTTATTTGATATGAAAAATATTTATTTAATAGGAAAATCCTTTTCAAAACAAATAAATATTTATTTGTTTCAAATAAATGATTCATTTGACAATGTTGAACTAAATATGTATTAATTTAGTAATTTTTGCAGTGTATTAATTTTTAACTTCAACTAATTATTTTTGATCTTAAACTTATTAACTTTTTTCCTAAGTTAAATTTTTTTATCTCTGAATACCATTATTGTCTTTTTATAAGTTATAAACGTATTATTAATTTTTATGTTTATTTGTCATCAATTGTAATTACCAAAAAATATATTTCAAAAAATTAACAAACAAAATTCTAATTTAATATAAATAATAATTTTAAAAATTAACTTTTGATTTAACTTTAGTTAATTTAATCTTAACTTTAACTGAGTTAATTTTTTGTTCATAAAACTTTTAACTTAACTAAATTAATTTTATAAGCAACTAACTTTAACTTAACTTAGTTTAAAAAAGTCATCTTACATTCATGGAAAAAAAAATAATTTTATTCTCATGGATGTAAAATGTGCTGTGTGTTGATTTTTTAAGTAATCGTTATACATTGATTAAGGCAATTGACGAAACGTCAGTACGAGAATAGTTATATAATTATTTACATATAATTATATACATATATAATTATCTTTTTCGATTTTTATATGAAATAGTAACATCAATACTATTTAAATTAAAATTCTTTTTTATAATAATTTCGGGGGATAATCTGATTATTCTCAAATAAATAATAATTCAAAAAAAATAAATTATATATAATTATTTCTCTTTAATTGAGTGCCAGTACAAGAATAGGGCTATTGAAATTCGATATTAAGTCAACTTGTATGAATAATAAAGTCCTCCAGAAGTCGTACAATTGCATGCAATCGCCATCTCTTGCGAGGAGTGCGAAAACTGCGTATAAAGAGGGTTTCCTTACCTTGATGAGGTAAAAATCTCTGCCTTGAGGGTCCTGGCACAATCGATTTGCTACTCTGAAATAGAAATGAAAATATAAATTAGACCGCGAGTCTCGTCTGCTCTAGAATCCCGAAAAGATGCTAATTATTTTGCCATTACGATTAAAATAAATTTCACAAGATTTTTTTTTATTTCACAAATTGTCCCTTGATTTCATATATATATTTTAGATCATACGAATGTTAATTATTTTTATATATTCACGTTTTCACATATATTCCGAGTTATACAACTCTTACAACACCGACTCTCATCTCCAAAAGAGAGAGATTCTATTTATAATTTCTCTTTACTCTGGGATCTCACAAAGATACTAGAATATATTCTAGGTATTCCGCAGGTTACAGATTTAGCTAAACGATTCACGGTTTTCATAGATCGTAGAATTTATTCCTAAGCACAAGTCTCAAGTATTACATCCTGATTTCGTTCAAACTTCAACAAATCTCAAGATTTAATTAAAGTATCGAGTTAGGTTATGTGAGGTTACATTATTGTATCGCACAGAATCTTTCTCATATTTTATAAATACAGATATTAATTTCTATTTCTAACGAACCGAGTGCTTTCTCTAATTCAACACGTGTTGCATTTCAATCGATTCGCCTTTATTGGATTTTTCGCGTCCCCAGAATTGAGGTTAAGAGATTGACAGGTCGCGCGGAACCACGTGGCTGAAACGATACGCACTTTTCTCGTCACGTCGATGCCCTTCAACACGGCCTCGAATTTCGAAATGTTGTCGTAGGTCGGGGCCGAGGACACCAGTCGCATCTTGGAGGAATATAATGCTTTCAACGGGTCGAACTTGTCACTTCCCGCGTCCAAGCTCTCGTCCGAAGTATCGCTCTCGTCTTCCATTGATGAGTTTCACGTGGTTCACTTGCACTTCTTTCGACTCACTCGCTGTCCCGTATTATCCTACGTTTTTATCAATTGATCTCTGAAAAGGGAACAGCCGACGTAGGATGACAGCTCGCACGTACACACGAGTAAACACGTGGGTTCACGGATCCACGCCGCGGCCATGTCAGATTTTGACGTCAGAGGCGGGAAAATACACGCTGACAATTTTTGCGTGCCATTTTTTACGCAAGAAGATATTTTTATGAAACACAACTTCAGATCTCTTTGTAGAATAGAAAATTTTTTTTTCGCTTGACAATCGATCAACAAAATAAAATGATATCAAACTCTATACATTTTATTTTTTTAAGAAATAAAATAAATGTTGTTGGTTGATTATATTATAAAGGGAAAAAGATGGTTTTTGGGATATTTTAAAGGTGTGCTAAAGTAATGTCTCATCGAAATATTTTTTTCTCTAAAAATTGGCACGTCAGAATTTTTTAGCGTGTGTTTTCTCGTCTCTGACGTCACGATTCCAACATGATCGGGAGCCTTAAAGTGCAGTCGCACGCACGAATCGCGTGAGGGACGACTTCCTTGATTAGGAGAAAAAAGGAGGGAAAAAAAAACATCCGTTTCTCGGTTGATTAATGCGTCGCGATAGTATTTCAGAGAGAAGAGGATGTTAACCCGCGGTGAAAACTTTCTTTCGCGGTTGCGAGTTACGTAAATGCAGTCGAGCAGAAGGTGCATAGAAATGCACCAACGGGAGAGCGCGAGGTTACGCGCACAGGAAGTGAAACAGAAGCCAGAAAGAAAGTTCTCGCTGTGTTTTCACTTTCATGGAAATTGTCCCTCCCTTCCCCTTTCTCTCTTCTTTCTGCATTATGCGAATTAGCAACGAATCATCATCTCGCATCGATGAACAGCCCGCGAGGAATCGATTAAGTCTCTTTTTCGCAGACCGGAACTTTGACGAAAAAAAAAAGACATATTTTTGTCTTCATTAAATATATCTCTCTCTTCTTGGATCTTTTATCTCTCAATTTCCGATCACGTTCTTTCTCCTCAAAAGTGTATATTTTTACAATAGTTTATTTAATAATAATTTGTTTTTTTTTAGAAGAGCTTATTCTTTATATATTTATATTCTTACATTCAGTATGGAAGATCGTATATCAGGAAGTAAATCTATTTTTAATTAATTTTAAGGAGTTACTTATTTTAGTAATTCATATTTATCTGTTAATGTTTATTTTATTAAATGTAACTATATTATTTTAAGAATAAATATAATATAAAATTTGAGTAGTTTAAAAAAAATTTTTAATTTGTGGAATTAAAGATATAATTATATTGAATTATCTTAGATAATTTTGATTAATTTGTATCTTTATTCATTTATTATATTTAAATTATTTTTAATTTGTTTATTATTAAGATTTATAAATTTAAGACTAATAATAGAATGAATAATATTTAATTTTAATTCTATTAATATATTATATTTTGATAGATTGAATTGATCATTCGATCCAACACACGTGCTTTCTCCTCAAAAGTGTACGTAATGATTATTGAGAAACTATATCTCCTTAGTTTGCGCATAAAATACACTTGCTCTCTTTTTTCCCTGTTATCACATTCCGCAGAGATTTTTCTATTTCTCTTCTATTTTTTTCACGCATCATTACGTCTTATATAATCTCGTGTGCGGGTAGAAATATACGCGGGCGGAGAAAGTAACATTATTATCAAGTTAATTCCTTTTTCCAGACGAGTTTAAATTAGATTCCAAATGAAAGTGCGAACGCGCACGATGTATCGGAAGTCATTGCGAGTCATTGAGATAAACAGATCTCGTTCCGCAGCTTAATTAGCCGCTATTTACTGAAAAAGAATCTCAATTTACTATAAGAGATAACATGAAAAGTCTATATGTACACATATATTTATAAGAGCCGCATCTAAATTATTCTAGACATACATAATACCCACACATATATATATATATATATATATATTTGGAAACTTTAGATTCGTATCGCAGATAAATATTTCATCTCGCTCGCTAATTATTTTGTATTACACGTGCAGGCAAAGTGGCATTTTGTGTGCGCGTTTTCTGTGCGGAAAGCGACCGATTTCCCACGCCGCATCTAGCGGCGACGCGGTGAGTGAATAAGCCGCGTTCAAAGCCATTGCCTACGACTGAGCCGCGTTCAAAGTCATTGCGTACGGCTGAAGCTGTGGGCAATGCTTTGCCCACGGCTGAAGCCATGGACAATGACTTTGAACACGGCTATTCCCGCATCGTGCGGAACTTTTCTCACTTGATACACAATACACTATTGTCGAATCTAACGTGCATTGTATTCTGTTTCCAGGTGAACAGCGGCGTGTAAAGGGGAAAAAAGGGAAACAAAGGCAGAATTGTCCGGGCGTGGCATAAGGCGGAAGGCGAAAGAGGAGTTTCGGAGAGGTGGTTTTAGATGTTAGAAGGAGCGGGGGTGGCTAAAGTGGCCCCGCCGCCGGGTCCCGATGCCGGTCCCCGTGTCTCAAACGCCCACATTGACCTCCACCCTCGTGCCCAAGGAGGAATCGAACATGCCTTTCATAGACGACGAGTTGTTCTGGTATGACAATGACGGAAAGATGGATCTGACCCAGTGCCTTCAGGTGCGAATTATTAATCTGGATTAATTAGACATTCGGTTGAATCATAAATGCATATCCGTTCCGTTTTACTAAAAAAGTCGAGTTTTTTTATATTTAAAAAGTATTTACAATAAATTTGAATCTGTTACGTATGTATATTACGTACAAAAAAAATTTGGATTTTGAATAAATATTTGATTTCAACACTGCCTTACAAATCGTTTATTTGAAACTAATAATATTGATTTAATGGAAAAATAGGTAGTATTGAAATAAAAATGTTTAATAGTTTATAATCATGTTTTTCGAATTTTGGGGATTCTGATGCGAAAGGATTTTTTTTACAAAATCAATCTCAGTATTATTAATTTACAATAAATTTTAATCTGTTACATATATCCTTTGTTATTAAGTACACTAAAAAAATTTGTTGAATTCAAATAAATATTTGATTTTAATACTACTTTACAAATCATTTATTTCAAACTAATAATATTGATTTAATGTGAAAAATAGACAGTATTTTGGGGATATTGATGCAAAAGAGGAGCTTTTTTTTTTACAAAATCAGCCTCAGCATTATTTATTAATTTTTTCATTATTCATGTTAGAAATTAAATTTCACTCTTTTATCCAACAGTATAATTACTGATTTGTGAATAATACAATAAATAAAATAATTGAATACAATGAATAATAAATATCGTGGACAATTACTTTCTCAGGAGAAGTGATTAATTAGAAAAATGTATAGCGGAACTTATTTATATGAATCAATTCAATATCTCGAGATCATTAAATTGAGATGTATTTTTTTTCTTCTTCATTATTCTGAATTTCTCGTGTTTTCAGCAGAGCAACACGGGCCAGTCGGTCGAATTTTCCCCGATGGAATTGAGTGCTTTTGTCGGAACGCCGGCGGCGCCGAATGTGCCGGCGGAGGAAGGCGCTGGTATGTCCGGCGTCACAGGGGAAGAACTTTTCGACCCCCTGGATTTCCTGCGGGAACTCGAGGCGGAGGCTAGCCAACCCACCTCCACCACGACTCCTTCCTCCTACAGACGACAGAGGCACAACATCGCCGCCGCGAATCCTTTATTAGCGGGTAAAATGTCGCATTTGAAATTACATTAAAAAAAAACTCTTTTATTTGTTTAAACCTGGAAAAATTACTTAATTATCTCTCGTTCTAATTTATTTTCCTTTTTATGCAAAAATCACTTGTAATTTTAAATTTAGTATTTTTATTTGAACTTTGTTTATACATATGTATAAGCATTTATCCACTTTATTTATAACATTATTTTATAGCATTTCCTATAATCCCATGTTCAGTGGAATTATTTTAATCTTGGAAATATATTATATATATATATATATATATATATATATATATATATAATAAAATATATATAATTATATACATATTATATAATAAAAAAAATATATAATAGAATTATAATAAAATTATAATAGAATATAACATATTAGTGGGATAATATGATAGTACATATTAATATTTTCCCCTATGTACATAGTAAAATTAATCGAGTATATTTTATATCTTATTGTGGTAGATATTAATATTAATATTTTTATTGTGATAAATATTAATCAGAAAAACTTTCATAAAATTCTTCCAATACCATATTGTCCCTCGATTACCATAATTAATTTGGGTAAATTTAAGAGAAAATTCTCCATGTATAATCCATAATATGGATAACAATATTGCATGATTCTGGGTTCTTTGACCCGGCATAATTATGTAATTTCACACAAATATTTCTTCAGTGTACATTCATGTTCTTTTTTTCCACGACACGTGCTAATAATTTTTTAATTTCGCAGAAAAATTGGCAGCCCCGTCGACACAGACGTCCCCGACGTCCATCCCTTACGCTTCGAGGGCGGAAATCAAGACAGAAAACATTCAGCCAGAACCGAGTAAGGGTAAGTCATCCGAGAATGTTTTTCCATCGCCTCGTATGTCGATATTGCAGGAATTTATTACCGACGAGCGGAACGTCAATTTTTACCGACAGCAACTCCGCGGCTCTCTCTTCCTTACCGACGCCGAGTACATTCCTCCTTACCTTCGCGCAATTCCCGCGGTCGGACAGGTCGCTGCGCGCGCGTGCCGGAAGTTCAAATCGCTCGCAGCCGAGGAGGGAAACCGGCCAAGGTCCCGCGAAATGCGCGTCCACATCCGCGTTAGCGATAATAATCGCGCGTGTTCCCGCGTGCAGTGACTCGAGGATAGAAAACACGTGTTCGCGTACGTAAGTACGGTTCGCGTAATTTGACGTCGCGTCGTAAATCAAAGTTCTCGTTTTGCGATTTCGAACATTTTGTCCGCGCGACATTAAATCATCCGTGAAAATGGCGTCTCGCGAATATTGAACTTTCGTACATCTCGAATTTTAGTGTTTGTGTATCGCATTATCGCACGAGTATTCTGCAGCAACCTCTTCTTCGGTAACGAATATTTTCTGCTCTCGTTGATCAGCAAAGGTAATCTATACGACATTTTGCAGAGTAATGGCCTGCGAATATAATTGAACTTTAACCCTTTAACTTTGGATACTTTATTGTTTGACGAGGCTCTTTGAATTCCTTCTACATGTTAAGCCTTTTAGAAGGTATCTAATTGTAAGGATTATTTCACATTATTTTGTGAATATTTATTTGATATGAGAAAATTTCTTTCAAATAATAAAGATACAGTTTTATTTATTTTAAATAATTATTTATAATAATTTATTTTAAAAGATTTATAAGGTAGTATTGAAATAAAAATATTTATTAATTCAGTAATTTTGTTTTCAGTATACAGATTTATTCAAATAATGATATGTTAATTCTTGCTCCAAGAATTTTGGGAATTCTGATGCAAAAAAAAGTTTTTATTGAACATGTATGCATGTATACATGTATATTGGACAAGTATTGAACATAATGGTTAAAAGAATAATTGGAAATAGAAATAATTATAAATAGTAAATAGATGGCATTATCGTTGTTTTTTGACATTTTTAAAATGATGAATAAATTTGATCTTCCAAAAGGCATAATATTTATGGGCAATTCCATTAATAAAATATATACACTATTGATATATCGTATTTTTTGTGTATCTTGATATAAAATTATATATGAATTCGAGAAGTATAAGAAGCATTGAAAAGGTGAGTGGTACATTTTATTAATTCTAGATTCCACTATGTGTATGAGAATCTGATTTCTGCAAATTTTAACCTCCCTGAATGGAATAATAAACATTCAGAAATGATTGCTAAAAATTATATAATAAAGCTAAAGAGGAGATTTTTGGGAGGGAAACATAAATGAAAATGATGTAATTGCGTATATTAAAAAGAAGAGATGCTCTCTATCGAAATATTTGCGGTCTCTTTGTTATTCGGAAATTTTTCTCGTTTCGCGGTCGGACGAATTCGTATCGACAATTCTCGGATCTTTTCCAGGCCGATCTCGACGCGGATTTTTCGACGAGGCAGAGTATCGCGTTGCAATTTCGTCCTGACCGCAGGCCGCGACGAGTAATTACGAGCCGTTAGAACACAAATTGAAGTGGGTGCTCATCGTTGTTCTTTTCACATTTTTAGAAAGCGGTTGGAAAGTGAGAAACCAAACTTTCTAACAAAACTATTACAAATACAGCTCGAAATCTGCTCGTGCACACCCTAATATTAAATATGAAATATTAATTATTAAATTGTAATAAAGAGCTCCGAAGTCTGCAACTAAAACGCGCTGAAATAATGTTACCCGCGAAAATAAAATTGTTATGTGTTTTTTTCGTAGAACAATCTTCAGGTTTTAATAAATGCATATGACGTTGTACCAAAATAAAATTATATCTATGGCGTAATAGCCGTAGTTTGAGAAAATAGACATTTTTATTTGAGAATAATCAAATTATTATCTGAAAATTATGTATTATTTTTCAATTCTATTTATTTGAGAATTATTTTATAAAAAATTATTATACTAGGAAAACATATTTTTGTAAGTATCGATATTATTATTTCACACAAACGTTAAAAGAGATAGATAATATTATATAATTATTTACATAATTATATAATATAAAATCATCTCTTTCGATCTTTGTATGAAATAATAATTGACACTTCTTAAAAATTTTTTTAATAATAATTTCTTATATATTTTAAATATATTTTATAATTTTTTATAAAATAATTTTCGGAGGCTAATCTAATTATTCTCAAATAAATAACACATATAATTCTTTCTTTTGATTTTTTGCGAGAAATAACAATATCGATACTTTTTTAATTAAACAAATTTTTTTATGTATATATACACGAGTTCCAAGAGAAGGATTCTACAAAATTTAATGAGAAAAGCGTGTATCTTATATGAGATATGACGCAAGAAATGCCTGGCTTTATTAAAGTATCGACGATATTGCGTCTCGCACATAAAAGCGCACATACACTTAGCTTGAAAATCCAGTTCTAATCGGGACGCGAAAGCAGAGAGATTAATTGGATTGAATTTATTAAGGATGTCCCGCGCGCGTGTTATCCGGCAGATTTCGATCGCGATACTCCAGTGAACTCGTTGAGCGAGGAAAGCGAGCGCATAATGTGTACACGCTAATTTTCTGGCGTGTGTCTTTCTGGCGCTAGCATCACTTTCACCCGGGTACCCGGTGCATAACGCAAAAAGAAAAAAAAAAGCGAATTTTCACGCGGGACGCGCTATTACACGCTCGATCGAGCGAACGGGCGGACGTGGCTTTTTTCCACGACAAATAGCCGCGTGTCGTGATTTATCGTGACATTTTCGGCCCCTTCCGAAACGCGAGTGCATTCGCGAAAACCAAAGTAGGACAAAAGAAAGTAATCTCTCATTAGACGTCGGAACGCGAATAACTATATAATTCACTTTCGACTCGTTCCGTTACTACTGGAGCGATCACGGTGTGCAGCATGCACGTTTCTTTAGACGACTTTCGCGATTTGTTAGATCGCGATCGGTGCGGAATGTGCAAAATTCAAGTCTGTATAGTGTCAAGTCTCGCCGTTAAATTCTCGAGAATTTTGCGCGGCCCATATATAATTCCGCGAGAAAGATCTTGATATGTCATAAAATAAATTATATATAATACCATTTTTTATATATTATTTATTTATTATTATATATTATTATTTATTTTTTATATATACAAATATTATATAATTTATAATTTAATTCATATCAATATTATATAATATAATTATAATATATATTATATTATATTTAAAAGAGGGGAATCCCCTGTCCTCTGTAGAGAAGAAAAAAATGATATAAATTTTCTCCTCCCCCCTCTCCTGTGTCCTCTCCTTTCTCCTCTCCTTCCTCCTCTTCTCTCCTCTCCTTCTCTCTACTTCTCTCCCCTCTCTCTTTTCTCCCTCCCCTGTCCTCTGTCTTGTCCCCCCCTCTCCTCTGTCTTCTCCTTCCCCCCTCTCTCTCTCCCTTTCTCCTCCCCCCTCTCCTCTGTCCTCTCCTTTCTCCTCTCCTTCCTCTCCCTCTTCTCTCCTCTCCTTCTCCTCTCTCTTCTCTCTCCCCTCTCTATTTTCTCCCTCCCCTGTCCTCTGTATTCTCCCCCCTGCTCTCTCTCCTCTTTTCTCTTTTTCCTCTCTCCTTGCGTTATCTCTCTCACAAAATGTTCGTTTCCATATTTATATCATCGAGTTTTGAAATCTCTGGTATATAGATTCTGGTAGATCTTGAACTCGAGAAGGAGGAAGGGAAATCTTGCCTCGGCTCCCTAGTGTTTGCGAAGCGCGGTATATATAAGTTCCGAATCCCGGGGATTCTATCGCCTATGCGGATTCTCCCGACACCAGCGCGTTGGAGAGGATCCATCGGATTCTGGGCTTCTCCTATAGCCCTATCCCCGGATTCGGGATACCGCGGATTCCCCGGGACCGGTCGAAAACGGGGTCCTCGTCGCGTCCTCGCGTCGGAAACGATCCGGGGAATGGAATTCGTCTCGATAACGCGCGCAAGTGCATCCAGCATCCTCGCCTTCTCTCCCTACTCGGTCTCGGTTGCATCCAGCTGTCCTCCGCCCGTTCGCTGCACTTGTCGCTACCCTCGTTCCCTTGACCCTCCCCAAACACATAAATTCTCTCTCCGGCTTTTTCCCTCCTCGCGTTCCGTCTATTACTGCACTCTCGGTTGGGGAGCTCCACGGAAATAGATTCGAGATCCGTATGCGCCGACTTTCTCCGCTTCCTCGCTAAATAAGCGAAACAAGTGCAGCGTGCGCGAACTGCGTTATTGCGTCGGATTTGTGTTGCGATTCGCATCCGCCGCGTGATCGATCGAGCTTTTTAATTAACATTTTGTACTGCCGATGTTACGCAGTTGAGGAATTAAATTTAACAAATGTCTCGAAGTCTACAGGAATTATTGTATTAATTTAACACAATATAGATGTGTGTATTGAAAAAAAATTTGTTAACTTGACTAAACCTGTCAACTAAATTACTATTTTGTTAAATTAACATATATTAGTATTTAACTCAAATGTACGTTTTGTTACATTTAATTATAAATTATTTGTTTCAAAATAAATGATTTATTAGGCAGTATTGAAATACATATTTACTTTAATAATTTTTATTTGATACACGAATGAACTGTCAAAAACAGCTGTTTTTGACGTATATACGCTAAAAAAATTTTTTTGTTAGATATTACATTTAATTTAAATATTTTTATAGGTTCAATTAACAAAATAATATTTAGTTGAAAGGTTTGGTCAAGTTAACAAATTTGTTTTTGGTATCGATCGATCGATACCTTGTGTGAATCTTTCGCGCGAATTTTTAATTAACATTTTGTACTGCCGATGTTACGCAGTTGAGGAATTTGTGTTAAATTTAACAAATGTCTCGAAGTCTACAGGAATTATT